CTACCACTAACCCGGCCACCAACTCTGCACCCTCTGCTGCAACTTGCCCATGCCCCCCCCGCTTCTCCTTCACACAAATTCAGACAGCTGATGTTTTGAAAGCGCTGCAAAATCTGGACCCCTACAAATCAGCTGGGCTAGACAATCTGGACCCTTTCTTTCTAAAACTAGCCGCCGAAATTGTCGCAACCCCTATTACTAGTCTGTTCAACCTCTCTTTCATAACGTCTGAGATCCCCAGAGATTGGAAAGCTGCCGCGGTCATCCCCCTCTTCAAAGGGGGTGACACTCTAGATCCAAACTGCTACAGACCTATATGCATCCTGCCCTGCCTTTCGAAAGTATTCGAAAGCCAAGTTAACAAACAGATCATCGACCATTTCGAATACCACCGTACCTTCTCCGCTATGCAATCCGGTTTCCGAGCTGGTCACGGGTGCACTTCAGCCACGCTCAAGGTCCTAAACAATATTATAACCGCGATTGATAATAGACAGTTGTCACGATCGTCTGACGAATGAGACCAAAGCGCAGCGCGTTGAGTGAACATGACTTTATTAAATTAAAGTACTCAATGCCAAAACAACAAACAATGACGATACGTGAAGTCCACAGTGACAAAGACTGAATACGGAACAAAAACCCACAACACTAAGGTGAACACTGACAGTTTAAATATGGCTCCCAATCAGAGATAACGAGCCGACAGCTGACACTCGTTACCACTGATTGGGAGTCACACGACCAAACAAGGAAACCCAAACAAATACAACACAACCAATACCACACACAACCAAATGAACACACCCTGGCTCAAAATACACAGTCCCGGAGCCAGAGCGTGACAGTACCCCCCCCTAAAGGCGCGGACTGCGACCGCGCCTCAAAAACCCCAAACAGGGGAGGGCTGGGTGGGCATTACTCCTCGGAGGCGGCTCCGGCTCCGGCCTTGACCACCACCCTACTACAATCCCCCCGTAGTGCCCCCAGTCCGATCTGACCCAGTTAGCTGGATCAGGACTGCCGACGCGCACCCCTGGCTTGGCGCGTGAGGCAGGAATGGACCGTACCTGGCAGACGATACGCACCCTAGGCTTGATGCGTGGAGCCGGAACGGGCCTCACCAGGCTGACGACTCGCATCCCTGGCTTGGTGCAAGTAGCAGGAGTGGGCTGGATCAGGCTGACGGCTCGCACCCTTGGCTTGGTGCGAGTAGCAGGGACGAGCTGAACCAGGCTGACGACTCGCACCCTTGGCTTGGTGCGAGTAGCAGGAACGGGCTGGACCAGGCCGACGACCCGCACCCCTGGCTTGGTGCGAGTAGCAGGAACGGGCCGGACCAGGCTGACGACTCGCACCCCTGGCTTGGTGCGAGTAGCAGGAACAGGCCGGGCTGGGCTGGCGACGCACACCGTAGGCTCTGTGCGTAGAACAGGAACAGGCCGGGCTGGGCTGACGACGCACACCGTAGGCTTTGTGCGTAGAGCAGGAACAGGCCGGGCTGGGCTGACGACGCACACCGTAGGCTTTGTGCGTAGAGCAGGAACAGGCCGGGCTGGGCTGACGACGCACACCGTAGGTTTTGTGCGTAGAGCAGGGACAGGCCTCACCGGACTGTGGAGACGGATAGGAGACCTGGAATGAAGAGCGGCCACAACCCGTCCCGGCTGAATGCCTACCTTCACACACTCTGTGTGAGGCATCCGCACAGGACGTACAGGGCTGTGTACCCGTACCGACATGACAGCACGTGATACTGGAGCAGGATATCCGGGACCGCGGAGAGGCATAGGAGACCACGAGCGTTGAGCCGGCACACTCCGTCCTGGCTGCATACCCCCCTTCGCACGACACGTGCGGGGTGCTCGCACAGGACGTACAGGACTGTGCCGGACCACTCGTGGCACCGTACGCTGCTCCGCATACCGCGGAACCTGCCCCGTCCCATGCTGCCATGCCTGAGTACGGGAAGTTGGTTCCGCTCTCCATCCCGGCCTCGCCAACCTGCCTTCTGGCCCCCAAAACCCGGTGGCCTCCTCTCCAAATTGCCCTGTGGCAGCCTCCTGCTGCCCAGCCGCCCAAGCCATGTGCCCCCCCCCAAAAAATTTTCTTGGGGTTGCCTCTCGTCCTTCCGACGATGGCCCTGCTGACGCCGTTGCTCCTCTCTCGCCAGGGCCTTGATCCTCCCCCAAGGTCCCTTGCCCCCGAGCATGTCCTCCCAGGACCACGATTTGCCCACCTGGGCCATCGCCAGCCTCTCGATCTCCTTACCCGGCGCTTCCTCCCATGTCCAGTCTCCTTGCTCCTGGACACGCTGCTTGGTCCTTCTTTGGTGGGTTTTTCTGTCACGATCGTCTGACGAATGAGACCAAAGCGCAGCGCGTTGAGTGAACATGACTTTATTAAATTAAAGTACTCAATGCCAAAACAACAAACAATGACGATACGTGAAGTCCACAGTGACAAAGACTGAATACGGAACAAAAACCCACAACACTAAGGTGAACACTGACAGTTTAAATATGGCTCCCAATCAGAGATAACGAGCCGACAGCTGACACTCGTTACCACTGATTGGGAGTCACACGACCAAACAAGGAAACCCAAACAAATACAACACAACCAATACCACACACAACCAAATGAACACACCCTGGCTCAAAATACACAGTCCCGGAGCCAGAGCGTGACAACAGTACTGTGCAGCCGTCTTCATCGACCTGGCCAAGGCTTTCGACTCTGTCAACCACCGCATTCTTATTGGCAGACTAAATAGCCTTGGTTTCTCAAATGACTGCCTCGCCTGGTTCACCAACTACTTCTCAGACAGAGTTCAGTGTGTCAAATCGGAGGGCCTGTTGTCTGGACCTATGGCAGTCTCTATGGGGGTGCCACAGGGTTCAATTCTTGGGCCGACACTTTTCTCTGTGTATATCAATGATGTCGCTCTTGCTGCTGGTGACTCTCAGATCCACCTCTACGCAGACGACACCATTTTGTATACATCTGGCCCTTCATTGGACACTGTGTTAACAAACCTCCAAACGAGCTTCAATGCCATACAACAATCCTTCAGTAGCCTTCAACTGCTCTTAAACACTAGTAAAACTAAATGCATGCTTTTCAATCGAACGCTGTTAGCACCCGCCCACCCGACTAGAATCACCACTCTCGACAGGTCTGACCTAGAGTATGTGGACATCTACAAATATCTAGGTGTCTGGTTAGACTGTAAACTCAACTTCCAGACTCACATAAAGAATCTCCAATCCAAAGTTAAATCTAGAATCGGCTTCCTATTTCGCAACAAAGCCTCCTTCACTCATGCTGCCAAACATGCCCTCGTAAAACTGACTATCCTACCGATCCTTGACTTCGGCGATGTCATTTACAAGATAGCCTCCAACACTCTACTCAGCAAATTGGATGTAGTCTATCACAGTGCCATCCGTTTTGTCTCCAAAGCCCCATACACTACCCACCACTGTGACCTGTACGCTCTTGTTGGCTGGTCCTCACTACATGTTCGTCGTCAAACCCACTGGCTCCAGGCCATCTATAAATCACTGCTAGGCAAATCCCCGCCTTATCTTAGCTCATTGGTCACCATAGCAGCACCCACCCGTAGTCTGCGCTCCAGCAGGTATATCTCACTGGTCATTCCCAAAGCCAACACCTCCTTTGGCCGCCATTCCTTCCAGTTCTCTGCTGCCAATGACTGGAACGAATTGCAAAAATCTCTGAAGCTGGAGACTCTTATCTCCCTCAATAACTTTAAGCGTCAGTTGTCAGAGCACCTTACCGATCACTGCACCTGTACACAGCCCATCTGAAATTAGCCCACCCAACTACCTCATCCCTATATTGTTATTTACAGTAATCCCTCGTTTATCGCGGGGGTTACGTTCCGAAAATGACCCGCGATAAGTGAAATCCGCGAAATAGAAAACTTTCTTTTTTTACAATTAGCAACTATTACATGTATACAAATACAGTGACTCACGTGTAGGCCGTTTCGTCGACATTATGGGTTTAGAAGATGTTCGAAATTACAAGATAATTTGGCCAACTTAATGTAAATTTGCCAAGCTGTTTTATGTACGTACACATAACTGCACGAGACGACAAAATGATAGCACAATTCGTAGCATGTTTTGATACAAGAAGCGGGAGTGAGTTTTTAGCGAATCAGAATGCAGAGCACAATGCACCAAAAAAAAAAAAAAAATGCATTATGAAAATCCGCGAAATAGCGAATCCGCGATAAGTGAACCGCGAAGTGGCGAGGGATCACTGTATTTTGCTCTTTTGCACCCCAATATCTCTATTTGCACATAATCTCTTGCACATCTAGCATTCCAGTGTTAATACTATTGTAATTATTCTGCACTATAGCCTATTTATTGCCTTACCTCCATAGCTTGCTACATTTGCACACACTGTATATATATTTTCTGTTGTATTTCTGACTTTATGTTTTTTTTACCCCATATGTAACTCTGTGTTGTTTTTATTGCACTACTTTGCTTTATCTTGGCCAGGTCGCAGTTGTAAATGAGAACCTGTTCTCAACTGGCTTACCTGGTTAAATAAAGGTGAAATAAAAAAATAAAAAAAAAATAAAAATAAAAGAGGAAAACTCCAACAGAATGATGACTTCAGGTGAGTGCTTTACCGTGATTAAAACCCAAACTTCCCTATCATATAGAAGATGACAGTTTAGTGGTGCTCTGCTATTGTAGTCCAACAGAAGGGGGAACATAAAACTGACAGGGATGCCAAAGTAATAGTCAATTGTTTTGTTTTTATTCATTAAAGTATCATTAAATGACAGATAAACTGTATGTGTAAACAATGCTGCATAATCTAACTGATTAACGCTTCGAACACACTGGCTGCGTCATTGCATCAATGCTGCATAACATTTTGCGCAGCTACGCAACGATACTGAATGCTGGTATCTACACACGTGTTGCAGACGGTTGCATGCGGTTGGACACATGGAGGAGAGAATCATTTTCGCAGTATCCTCAAAGCCGTGTCTTTTTGACACAACTGCTGACAGCTACAGGGACATAAACACAAAAAAATGCTGCTTGGAGACGAGTGTCCACGATAGTAGGATTTCCAGGTCAGTTTAGTAGTGAGCTTGTGCTAGATGTGGCTAGTTTGCTAGCTAGCTAACCTAGCTAGCTAACCTAGCCAATGAGGTGTGTGTGTGTGTGTGTGTGTGTGTGTGTGTGTGTGTGTGTGTGTGTGTGTGTGAAAGAGAAATAGTAATATAAATTATGCTAGTTACTACCCCTGATAACTTGGCCAAGTAATCATGTTTGAAAGAGTGTGAGTGTGTATGTGAGAGAGTGTGAGTGTGTATGTGAGATAAATAATAATAGAAATGATGGTAGATACTACCCCTGATAACTTGGTCAGATAACCGTGTGTGTGTCTGTGTGTACGGTAGGTGACATGTCCATGATAGCTATCTAATAACTATAGTTATGCTAGGTAATGGTTTGGCTTATCATGTTCATGTCTATGTAGAAGAAGACTGTAGGAGGAAGTGGAGAGGACTCAGGGAGAAGGTATCAGAGAGAGAGAAAGAGAAGAAGAGAGGTCTGGGTCAGCGGCTTCAGGCCAGCGGCTTCAGGTCAGCGGCTTCAGGTCAGCGGCTTCAGGTCAGCGGCTTCAGGCCAGCGGCTTCAGGCCAGCGGCTTCAGGCCAGCGGCCTTGGAGCTTCTGCCACATTCTTTCCTTTCTGGATCCAGTTATTGTGCCTAGGGCAACGAGTGGCAATTTTACAGCCAGACCCTCTACATCATCCACAAGTATGACCTCCACTGGTGCTGCCATGGAAGATGATGAAATAGAGGAAGCACCTCTGGACCTAGGACCACCTGAGATTATTATGACCCGGAAGTGACCAGTGAGGACCTCGTTGAACAGGAAGAGACAGAGACACACACACACCTCTCCTCCACTCCTCTCTGTACCTCAGATCTCCAGTGCCCCGCCCCCTCTCTCTCTTTATGGCCATGTCTGATGTTCCCCTACTACGTCTAGGCTTTATGAGTAGTGCCTGTATCTGTCTGCAGTTGTGTCAAAAATACATGCTCTTGTTGTTCTCTTACAGGCTACACATAATTTTTTGTATTTTTACACGCACATACATGCACACACACACACACACACACACACACACACACACACACACACCTCTTTCAATAGTTGTGTAACATTTTTACAACCCACACACCTGTCATGTTCTTTCCTGTACTTGAATACTTCTTAAATTCTAATGTTTTCATAGTCAGTTTTCATTTGTTTATTTATATCTCATTTATAATTATTCTGTTTATTTCTTCCCTACACCTTTGCAGAGCTAAGACAAGATCAAGGTAAAAACCCATTCTCTTCCTAATTCGTTGTTGTTCCACCTGCATTTTGTCAGACCAGTGAAGATCGTGGTAAACTGTACTATTTGTATGGACCCTAGATGACCTTTTCCCATCGTTATCATACTACCTGTATGTCGTATAACCTTAATTAGAGCTCCTGCTCACCTGATGTACCATGCCAGGTGTGTATAATACTGATGTTAATGGGAGAGCGAAGGAGTTAAGGTGTGGTCTTTACTCCCAGATTTCACTTAAATATAACTTCCAAATGAAGAGAGACAATGAGACATAAAATAATCTGGGAAAAATATATATTTTATGGACAACGGTGGATGGTTCTTAAAATAACCTTTGTGTTAGGGGGCTCTTAAAAGAGCCGTTTCACTCCACGGCATGCTGCCATGTGACTTCACCTGCTGGCGATGAGAAGTAGGTGGTCAGCTTCTCCCTCACCTGGAGTGCCTGTCTTGGGGCGTTGTTGGCACGTGCCCTGGCGACATCAGGTAGGTGACCATTTGGCGTGCCCATCTCCATCCGGAGCGGCTCCTGGGATGCCCTCCGCAGATAGTTGTGGAGAACACGTGGCCTTCACGCAGGCATCGACATTTCAGGGGCTGAGACCAAGCACTCTCCGATACATTCTCCACCGGGCTGCCAGAATCCCAAAAGCGCATTCAACAACTAACCTTGCCCTGGACAGTCATTTGTTTAAGATCCTTACAGGCTTTGGCAACAGCAGCTGGCGTCCAGCGAAGGGCCTCATGAGGTTGAGTCTCAAAGGGAAGGCCTCGTCGCTGATGAAGACGTGGGGGAACGGGTCCCAGGTCTTCAGCCCCAGGGAGTGATGCAGGTGGTGGAATCATCCTGAAGTGCCTGGCCGAAGGCAGAGTCCCAAAGGGTCCCGCCATCACTTCCCTTGCCGTAAGCACCAACGACAAGGAAACAGTAGATGGCATCTACTACAGCCAAGAGTACAACTGAATATGTACCCTTGTAGTTGTAGAATTGCGAACCCGAGCACGGTGGAGCCTTGATTACTACATGTTTCCCGTCAATGGAGCCAAGACAGTTGGGGAAATTCCACCTCTCCAGGAACTTGGCAGCGATGGCCCTCCAGTCTTCCTCCTTGGGGACAGGCTTGTATTCACCGACCAGGCAGTCCCAAATGGCTTGTGCCACAGAGGGGACAACGCCTGCCACCGTGGACCGTCCAACTCGGAAGCTGAATCCGATGGTTCTGTAGGAGTCCCCTGTCGCCAAGAATCTGAAACATAATTCAGAATATTTATCAATAGTGTGTGTGACTTGAATTCCACCCACATATTCTATCTACTCATATAGCTACCTCATTACTGTTTATTATGCTCTACTAATTATATTATAATACTCATCAACCATCATTAACAATGCCTTGAAAAAGTACAATTCAGTCTATGACTGTATCAATAAACTGTAGCCCAGGCCAACTCTACTCTTAGAAAAAAAGGTGCTATCTAGAACCTAAAAGGGTTCTCCGGCTGTCCCCATAGGATAACCCTTTGAAGAACCCTTTTTGGTTCCAGGTAGAACCCTTTTGGTTCCAAGCAGAACCCTATTGGGTTCCATGTATAACCTTTTCCCCAAAGGGTTCTACCTGGAACCAAAAAGGGTTCTACCTGGAACCAAAAAGGGTTCTCCTATGGGGACAGCAGAAGGACACTTTTGGAACCCCTTGTTCTAAGAGTGTACATGATTCCAATAAGAATGTAATGAATGACTGTAACTGTCCTGAACAACAAGGGGTCCTGGAGAAGACTAGCATACCTTCATCAGGGCAGAAGGCACCCCAACTTTCTTTTCATTTGGTAACATTGCATCATTCAAAAATGATTTTAAACCAACTTTGGGAAAAGTTATAGTCCTAATGAACATTCTGTAAAAGTACATCTGATGTCCCATAGGGGCTATTAACTAGAGAGCCCTTTAGCTAGCTAGTTGCACATAAAATATATCTAATATAATAAAGAATGTAAAGAAATTCTGCAGTCAAACTGTTTTTATAATGTAAATCCCACAATTTATTTTACTGGATATGTGGCAACAAAAATTCAACATTCACATTTTGCTACTTTCTGTCAAGTCTACGCATACAATTTGATGCATACGTTCGATAAATCCAACGTATGCACCACACAGAACGATCTGCAACTGCCTCTGCAACGCAATGCTGTTCCATTGGAAATGAATGTACTTCTGGTGTACAACACAGTCGGTGTGTTCGAAGCGTTAAAGATCATGCAGATAGTAAATGAGATTTCATAAACAGTTAAAACAACAAAGTAGGACTGATGACTAAAACTACATGATAAGGGTAAAACACATTTGGCCCTGAATATGATTATAGTCTTCAGTGTGTGTTCAAATAAATCAACAATATGGTGGAAATAATCCTGAAATAACACTGGTGGATACACCGTTTGAAAGCAAAATAGTTTCACAGAAGGAAGGTTTGGGACTGGTTCAAAGATCATGTAATCCCATCAACATACAGCAGGAGGCACCATTCAACCCTTAGAACTGAACAAGCTTCATCACTACTGATAACAGGCTATTGGAAATCCAAGGGAAAGTAATACATCATTTACTTTCAACATCATCTGTCATTACTGTAAAATGCAATTACATCTTATACAGTCAGTTTTAATACTTTACTGGAGGCCTCTTTCCAGGCAGGTAGACTAGCGGTTAGAAGTGTTGGGCCAATAAACGAGAGGTCGCTGGTTTGAATCCCCGAGCCGACTAGCTGAAACATCTGTCGACATGCCCTTGAGCAAGGCACTTAACCCTAATTGATCCTGTGGTTCACTCTGGATAAGAGTGTCTGCTAAATGACTTAAATGTAAGAACAGCAGAAGAGCAATCATGAATTAAAGGACCAAATCTAGGTTACATATTTGTGTTAATATGAGAGCAGGGTTTACTGATTCCATGACAGATATGTGAGCTGGGTTTACTGATTCCATGACAGATATGAGTGCAGGGTTTACTGATTCCATGACAGATTGAGCCGACAACAATAACAACATTGTTGAGATTAGTAGTGACCAGGGCCCGTAGGAGTGCTGACCTAATATCCGTTTTGACTTTTAGATCATAATGAATAAGATTATATGGACAGATCCTAGATCAGTAATCCTACTCTAAGATGCTTTATGGATATGTGGTGTGATCTTAGCCAAAATGTGTTGGGTTGACAGCCGCTGGACCTGGGTTCTAGTGGGCTCACTGTGTTTGTTTACATAAAGGATTATCTGATCATGTGTATCTGGTGATCTAGTCATTAGTTCTTGTTGCTGTTATTTTTAAGGATTTGACAGGGTAGGATTAAGGCCTTTCATTGGCCTGGCCTGTAACTCTCGTCACACAATATCTGAATACTTGGTCAGATGAAATCAGGGAAAGATATTTCTGGATGAATCTCTCTTTTAATCCCTTGATGACTAACAGGTTCAGACCCATATCAGGACTGACTTAACAGAAGTAGGCTAGCACTGCTGATGAATATTAGGGTTTCATCTATCTTTTAAAATAATCAATATATTGTCTCTCTTTATTGGGCTTTTATTAATTTCCAAATATTTAATAACCAAAGTTTGATAATTGCATCAAGAAACATGTTCCATCACCAAAGCCCTTCCATCTATATACATTAGAATCGTTTTTAAAATTAGGTTCCCGCTTTATTTGAAGTGCATCTTATAAAGGCTTCATATAGGCTTCATAAGCACTACATAGATGCTTCACAAATAATCTATAACCGTACATCATGCTCTATAAAGATTCATAATGTGGCATAGCTGTGTGACAAAATCATTAATGTATTTGTTCACATTTATTCATCTTTTACAGAGCATGGAAAAGTATTATACTGTAGATGATTTGTGACCCATTTATGTAGGGCTTATTGTACAGTATTAATCTACTCTACTGCTACTACTTGACATTAAGTAAAGATGGAAGAGTCACACTGCCACCTCCTATCTTCCTCATCTTCAGTCATGGTCATTTAAAAGTTGATGTGCTGCAAAAGCTGCAATTGGAAGTCATGGTCCTCCTGCCAAAATTACTGCCGATCCGTATTAAAGGTTCATCCTCTTTCTGGAAACTGTAACTGTGTTTGTACACTACAGTGAAGTCTTCTGGACAGATACAGTGGGGGAAAAAAGTATTTAGTCAGCCACCAATTGTGCAAGTTCTCCCACTTCAAAAGATGAGAGAGGCCTGTAATTTTCATCATAGGTACACGTCAACTATGACAGACAAATTGAGAGAAAAAAATCCAGAAAATCACATTGTAGGATTTCTTTATGAATTTATTTGCAAATTATGGTGGAAAATAAGTATTTGGTCACCTACAAACAAGCAAGATTTCTGGCTCTCACAGACCTGTAACTTCTTCTTTAAGAGGCTCCTCTGTCCTCCACTCGTTACCTGTATTAATGGCACCTGTTTGAACTTGTTATCAGTATAAAAGACACCT